GATTTAACACTACAATAAATCTCAAATTAAAAATGTTAGTAAATAAAAAAAGTTTAGAATAAATCTTTAACACATATTTTGAAATCAAAACAAAACTGAAGTTTTCCATTTAATCTTGAATCGTGCATTATTTAGTCAAATGTTATTATGTCAAGTTAAACATTCCTTAAACACAACAATAACCTTTAAATTATAAAATTTAATAAAAGGAAAACCTTCAATTTTTTTCAGCCATTCTAAGTTAAGTTCAATTCCTTAAATTGATCCATCTCATATGATTCTACTACTCATCATCCGCTTAACTAATTTACTTAAAAGTACACAAGTTTGCAAATTGCACGGTGAAATATAATTGATTTCAACATTCTAAGACGTAACTTAAAAGTCTTAATTATTATAAGTAACGTTATCCCCGGTTTTATACAACAGCACATTGCAGAATTGACTGACAAATGAGTAATCCAAATGTAAGCTTACTTGCTAAATGATAAATCAAGATCAGCTGTATTGAAGTAAACAAAATTCAGCAGTAAATGGCTTCTAATGCTATTCTTATGGAGAAAATTTTGTGTTAAGATTTAGGGAATTTCACTATTTTTTCCGCCGTCACGGGATCGAGACCTTTAATTTGAGCACTCTCCCGTCGTTCTACGACTTCCCAGTCGCCCACAATTTTGACGCAAAGAATCGGTTTACGTCATTAATACACACACACACACACATATATAATATATATATATATAGATGCTTGCCTATTAATATGTAGATAGTCTAAGTAAATAATGAAATAAATATTATATAAATAAATATTCCATTTGTTGAACTATTCAAGTTAAATGTTTGAAATATTCTTTTTAATCAGCCATTCTCTACTGATGGGTTATTTTGATTGTAAAAATTAAGTTTTACCACCGTATCAAAATAAATCGTAGTTATGAAAATAATTGTTGAACTATAAAATCATATTTTTTGAAATTTTGAGTTCTCATATGTACAATAATTTTAAAATTATCTTATTTTGAAAACTAGTAAAGTATTTTGTTCAACAAAATATTTATTATTCATCATATCGGTGACGTGTCGTAAGAATGTTGAAATGTTTCTCTCAGCAAAAATAGGAGGGTTAAAGTTCCACTATATTATATTTTCTGGATTTAAGGGAATCTCTAAATGTAATCCAAGAGGCGGATAAAAATGCATAACTAAATATGGTTTATGCTGCAGATGAAGCTGCACCCAACAATGAATCTACATCGGGTAAGTACTACAGGTGATGATGTAACCTTACAAACACTGCGGACGAGTGTTAAGTGCTCGAAAGAGACCCGAGATATTGGGAACCTGTTGACTGTCTCCATGGTTACCGAGCCGGATCTCGAGTAGGATCCTCGCTGTCAATTCGATTTCAGTTTTTTCTTCTTATCAACACATAGCCAATATATATCTTTCAACTTCACTAGACCTATTTTATATAAGGGTTTTTGTCAAAAGTATGGTTTTGCTGACCAACGTCAATACTTAAGTAACATTTAGACGTCCAAGGATTATTATACTGTAGTACTCGTTAAAATATTATTAAAAATGTTATTAAACATGTTATTATTATAAATATTACGAGCTGTTGGCCCGTCCTACGTACGGGAAGCGAGTAGTCCACTAAAACTGTATATAGTTATATCCATATTTCTGTTCCTAATTCAATCATAGTTTAAGCAGTGCAACATTTATAGTAAAGAAAAAGCTGCCAAGATGAATTAAAACATGTTTTCATTGTTATTTTCCCAACCTTTCCTCAAAAAGTCGAGTAGTTAAATAATTTTCATAAGCTTTCTTATGAAGATTCGTGAGCTTCGATTCGTATACAGCAATGGTTATAGACTCTTATTTCTTATAATCAATGAGAAAATCACAGAGTAAATAAACTAACCTCATAGTTCTATTTATTATTTTTTTATTCAACCAGCTGTTAGTTATAACAAATTATATTGCACTAAAACAAACTAAATATTTTAAAGACTGATAAAAAAAATAATAAATTACAACATCTAGTAATTTACTATAATTTAAATAAACTCTCATCCTCTCACCGAATAAATGAACGTATCAATAATTATAGCATTACACATAGTATGAATAAGTCAATTCTACGTATGTTATTTCATTTTCATCCAAATGCTGAATTTGTGTCGAAAACGCTGAATGTATACAGCTGTTACGTTAAGCAAATGGTATTATACTAAAAGCTAGAGTAGAATGTTAGCGTCGGCTGCTAGACTTTTTAAAATTTAAAACTTAATTTCTAAAAAACTGAAACCTTAAACTAAAATTATGGCTTCGACATTCCCTAGTTCTCAAAATTATCTTTCTTTTAAGGGGAGCAGTGCGCGAATACCACTCCCATGTTATTCTTATGGGAAAACATGTGATTAGATAGGTACATTTATTTTTAAAACCGTTAGAGATATTGGCTTAAATTTTTTTTATATTCATTCCTTAGATTGTTTTCCGTGTTTTTATGCTATATAAACAAGAAATTCAGTCTAGTTTTTAAAATAAAAAATTAAATAAAAATTACTAATTTTTAATTGTGTTTTTAATACAGTATTAAATGCAGTACTAATGCATCAGTACGCATTCAAGGCATCTTGGTTTCCTTGATATTATCAGGTTAAGGCGTTGCAATATTTACCATGATTACACACACTCATTCTACGCTCTAAATGTCACGTTAGTTTGAACGTGAACGCCCTCAATACTCATTAATGAGGAGTTATGCGATTTGCCGTTTTTATTCTCACACTAATGTACACACTGTTTGACATCTAGCAATAAAAAAAACTTTCGGATAGCTTACATGCTGGTACGTAATTCACTGAATGTATTTTTGAAACAACTCTTATATTGTTTTCCACTCTCACACCTAGGTACGTACTGGTTGCTCTCTAGTACACAATCAAGGCGTGGTACTTGAGTTTTTCCTCTCCCTTTGACAAAGCCTCTCCACTCAAGTCTGATGAGTTCCTCTTCAGTTTCCTCACATACACCTAGGTCCGCACTGGTTGCTCTCTAGTAGACAATCAAGGCGTGGTACTTGAGTTTTTCCTCTCCCTTTGACAAAGCCTCTCCTCTCAAGTCTGATGAGTTCCTCTTCAGTTTCCTCACATACACCTAGGTCCGCACTGGTTGCTCTCTAGTAGACAATCAAGGCGTGGTACTTGAGTTTTTCCTCTCCCTTTGACAAAGCCTCTCCACTCAAGTCTGATGAGTTAATCTTCAGTTTCCTCACATACACCTAGGTCCGCACTGGTTGCTCTCTAGTAGACAATCAAGGCGTGGTACTTGAGTTTTTCCTCTCCCTTTGACAAAGCCTCTCCACTCAAGTCTGGTGAGTTCCTCTTCAGTTTTCAGTGTGTTTATACAAGACTTGACAGGAAACTCATACAAAATCAAAATTTCCTGTTAGCTAGTTTTCCCCATTTTACTCATTCTCTCTCCTTTCCCCAGTGGCGGCGATAAGAGCCCGCGGACCCCCCGCAAGTTTGTTGGCCGGGCCCCACTCTCCCAATAATCTTTAAAAACATTATCATCACATGTAATACCATTTAAACTTGCTTGTAGCTTGGCACGGCATCTCCCGAGGCACTGAGGCGTCATTATCGTATTCCATAATCGTAGCAAAATCGTGAATACTTCCCGTAGTCATGGACACATTATCATAGTATACTGAGATCGCAACCAAACCTAGGATCATCAGATAACAACATCATCGTCTCCTGCGTTCATGGCTCAATCCCTAATATTTTACGCGACCCTTGGTGACGGGAAAATATTTTTATCCGCAATCGCGGCAAAATCCTAGATATACCCAACGTTATACAACACTCGGGATATCTCTCGCGGAAAAAGAAACGTCAATATCGTCTTCCGCAATCGCGGCAAAATATTGAACATCTCATGCGGCCGCGGAGACAACGTCATCGTCACCCGCGGGGAAATGTTGTGGTCGATATCAGCGATCGCGGAAAAGGCGTAGGCCTAATCTTTCAATTTTGTGAGCGTGATCCAAGCTTTTAATTTTAATTAGGCATTATTGTATTGAGTACTAAGAAAATCTCCTCGACGAGCTAGATTTTCTGACTTTGTGCTTGACCTCTCAAGCTTGTAGGCCAGGCTATGCTCAGCTTGAAAATTGACATTATATAAATATCAACCGTTTCCAAAGCAAACCGATTTTGAACCTACCTGATTGGGCTCAAGACCTATAGAAAAGCAACACTTTTTACCTGACTCGAAGTAAACAAATCTAAAGTGCAGCCTCCTAATAGTAAGTGAAAGTCCTTCTTTAGCGTCAATGAAAGAAAGGAATTATTTATTAGCTAGTGCCTTAGCCACCAGGAGCCCATTTCATAATAAAGTACAAACTAATATTATTAGTAAATCAGCTGATCGCCCAATGCAAATCTTATGGAAATTACAAGTTACAAGTTGTAACTTGTAACTTGTAGTTTATTATGAAATGGGCCCCTGGGGGTTAATTCGCCGATTTGATCGTAAAAAAAATGGTCAAGTTCATTTAGTTGAATCAGCATAGAGGGCTCTGGTGTGACCCGCCGGGGCCTAGGTAGGCCAGGGCGCCACATTGGTTGTTTTTGATAAGTTGATAAAATGAGGTTTTGTTTGAAAGTAATAATTGTAAAATAAACTTAAACATTCACTCACTTCATTTATGTTCTTTATTTACATTGTTTTTCTTGTACTAATTGTTTTGGTTTTGTATAACATATGTTTATATTTCTAGGTTTCTATTTCTTCTTTGTACAGTATATTATAACTGTGTATTATATTGTATTGGGTTGATTATATATCGATTGGGCCTTAACATACCGCCCGCCAAAAGAAACATTTTCTTTTCAATAAGGAAAAATTAAAGGATAACACCAATCAAGTTAAATAAACAGAACATTAACAGAAAATAATAAAAAATCACAAAAACTATGTGATTAAGTAGCGACGGCATTTGCTTGAGCTCGAGGAAACTGATGACTTGCTCTGCTTCTGTAGAAATATTCACTTTCTTTTTTATTCCAAGTATGATGTTTAGATGTATTGTGTAGCTTAGGTCTTTGATAAAAAGTTGTGCCAGTGTCTATGCGAGGTTTAGGATTATAGATCCGGCGATAGTGACTGGACATCTTCTGATACATAATAGTTTGAGCTACACCATTTTTTGGATGGACTTCATAGTTGTTCATTATTTTCATAGCTTTGATCGACGACTTCTTGTTCCCATACGACTCTCCAATCTTGGGATCTTCGATTTTAAAAGGGAGCGGAACTATGTATCTTCCTTCTTGATTCCGTTTTACAGCATTACAATAGATCTTCTCACATTTTTCTTCTTCAAGGTTAACTGATGCATAGACTGGGATTTCTTCTAATTCACAAAAACTTCTAAGTTGATCATCTAGAGAATGTTCAATGGTTGCATCATTGGAAACAATAGATGAAACCTGGTCATATGGCTGTGTTTTGCTATTAAGATCAATTGGACCCATCAAAATATATCCGAAACTACTTTGGTAAGGAACGGGGTAACCTTTAGGAGCAGGCATCCGCCCGCCATCTATTACCTCAGGGTACAAGTCTGCACCCAACAAAAATTCAATTTTTCCTGGTACGTCAAAAGTAGGATCTGCAAGTTCTAAATGTTTGTATCCGTCTTTGATACATTCTGGAAGGGAGGTAGAAGGCATTTGAGATGTAATTTTCTTCAGAATCACAGCATTAGTCTGAAGGCGAAATTCAGAATCAAAACGAGATTTCAGAGTGCACGATACAACTCCTTTAGTAGATAAAACCACAGACAATGGAAACCCAGACGTATCACTGCGCGATGCGTAGGGCCCCGTCACATCCTGCCTCTAGCGGAGAATCGAGGAAACACGCAGTCTCGCGCTCGCCTCGCCAGTCGCCGGCATGGTCGGCTCGGCGGTCGCTGGCTTGCAATTAATTGCAGCACTAGCAGTTCAACTCAACGCCAAATTCTCGTCTATCATTCCTTCTCCACACCACAACTCGCGCGGTTCACCGATACCGTACTCCCTACGACTACCCGTGCATCCATCTGCCTGCGGACAGCATTTATTTTTCATTGTGTGATTATTTTAATCACATTTGCGACGAAGTTTAGCAATAAATTAAACATGGTGTTCAAAAAAGGTGGGGGACATATTTTACCTAGTGATTCCTTGGGTAAAAATAAAGAGAAAATCAACAATAATTTTTTCCAAAATTGCTTCGTTACCCAAATATCCGCCATTTTGTATTTTTGACATACACTTTTTTATATTTTAATGTTTTTTACAGATTTTTATGAAACTTGGTATGCATGTTAAGGTAGAAAAGACCCGTGTTAGAAAAAAAGTTCATCTAGATTCAACCTACAATTTCAAAATGATGGCCATTAAAACATTTAAGCTTAAATTACTCAAAACTGGCTGGTTTTTTTTAAAATATTCCAAGTACAATTTTAACTATCTATTATTTTAATTAGTATTATTTTAATTATCCTTTAGCATTTTTAATTATCTATCAAACGATACCAAGTTCAAAAAGATCAAATAAAAAATAGCTGAAATATTATAATTTTTAGTTGTAAAAGGGGCAAACCTGACTATCTTCTGCATATATTCTACCCCATTTCAGCAATAAAAGTTTTAGCAATCAATTTTATTCAGTCTGTAGTACTGTATTAGAGAGGAGTGAAGCGAAGCTCGTTGGGAACGGCTACAATACAAACTTCCATAGACACAAAACAAAAACACAAATCACTCAAAATGGCTTAACTTATTTTAGCCAAACTTTCCAAGATGCTTTGTTTCCACAAATAGGAATTCGGAAGATTTAAGACCAAATAGTTTAAATTTTTGATAATCTATATAAATAAAATTACAGTTTTGTCTGTACATTGCGTAGAATCATGCAGTGTTTGGTTGATTTTACGTTTCATAGCCTAAGAAAGCCGAAACGAGTCTTCTCAATTTCTGTCTGTCTGTCTGTTTGTCTGTCATTGTGTCATTCTGTATAGACTCCAAAATGTTAGTTTTTACTATGAAAAAGATAAAACATTAAGTGAAAGATTTTTTTAACAAGCCATCATGAATTTTTAAATTTTTACGTTGTTAACGTATCAATTTTTTGTGGCCTTTGTATTTATTTACTTATTTATATATTTGCCAACGGAATCACACGAATTTTACAGTTGGATTACAAGTTGTGAATTGCTCAATATGACTAAATAGCCTATAAATAAAACGAATATCAAAAGTAACAATAATAAGAATACAGTACATGCAAATACTTGGACAAAGAAAGAACTAAGAGTAACGAGAAGTAAATACACAAGTTGGTTAAATAACAATAATAATGAAAATACGTATACAATAAATGTCACATTGACCAATCTAGGAAATAATCTATACTATTATATAAAAATCTAATGGTGTCTGTCTGTATGTGCATTACTAATAGGTGCAAAAACTACTGAACCAACTGGGCTTAAATTTTACAAAAATATAGCTATCATACCAAGAACCATTATAGGACTATTCACATTTCGATACTGACCGTAGGCTTTGCCCCTTTGACTTTAAAAGTTCTGAGGTGAACATTTTAAAAGTAAATATTAATTGGTCTCCATGGCTGCGATGATAACTCTAACAATGTTTGTTTACATTTGCTTTGACATTTAAATGCAAACAAAAAGGACACGGTGCAACTGCGCACTTGATTAAGAAATTAGTAAGCGGATTAGTTTTGGGACCCGGGGGGGTGGTCGTGCTGCGCACGTTTACCCTAAAGCTGATTATGCACGGTTGATCGCACCTTGACCTGTGCTGTAGGACTTTTAGTCACTCTTGGTCAGTATTGGTTAAACGTTGAAATGGATTGTATTACAACATGTACATAAGTGTATCATATTTTAATTGATATTTTTTATTTAATTTCTAAAAGGAATTTAATTTGTTTGACAAGATTTTGATAATGCCGACATGATTGTTAATCTGGCTCAATAAATGACTTTGACTTCAAGCCCAGAATAAAGTGTGGTTATATAAGGTTGGTAATACATATTATATGAGTTGACAATAGGGCACCTACTAAAGACAAGCCACCTCTGAGGAAGACAGTTTCGTGTTGTGAATGGTAAGGACTGCAAAGATTTTTCTCAACACCTTAGTAAAATGTTTAGCTTCAGGCAACCGAGAAATGCCTTAAATCCCCCGACGCAGCAAACCTTAAGACTATGCGAATTTCCGTTGGCCTGGTTATATTTCCACTAAAAGGTTCCTTAAATTGTCAGATTTATAACTATTAAAAACATTAATTTTAATGAGCACTTAGGATTTCTGCTGCGGGAAACGTAAAAAGAAGTGTTTTTTATCGAAATTTTAATAGATTAGTGTAAAAAAATGCCAAAGTTTATCGACATATATCCATATATATCGATCCATATACATCGACATATATCGACAAGCAAACTACATACTTCATATGAATAACAACATGGGAATTATATTTGCAAATTTTTTTATTTTCTTCGTGACCGTTGGGCACACAACAACAGTTCAACAAACTAAATTATTCCCTTTTTTTATTATTCCCTCTATAACATTTCATTCAAAGAAATTGCGGAATCTTTTGTTTTAAGGTTAAAAAATGGGGAGAACATATATTTACCTCATAAAACTCCCCATTAATCCCAGTTCCCAAAGTCCAATCATGCTCGTTCACAACTAGTTCGAAAAACGCAGGTTTACACTTTTTTGCAAATTTCTTAAAAAACGGATCATTTTTGCTGGATTTATCGTGCTAACGGACACATAAATATATACACACATAAATACGTACAGTATACACTATATATATAATCTAAACGGAGGGTGTTACCAACGAAGCGGTTGGCTGGCCTATGGGAACCTCAAATCGAAAAAGCATATCGGTCCCGGGTGTACTTCTTATCACGAGCCCTACGGTATCCCCTATATGGAAAATTCACTATAATGGCCTGCATATAGTCCTATAACAAATATCTATCACTATATCCTTATTTTGATTCGAGTAAAGTCTTCGCGGACAAAGATTTTAAAAATTGCTTAAAGAAATGGTTCTAACGATTATTTTAAGCTTTTGCAAATATCCTTTGTTTTGAAGTTCATTTTTGATGATGGTGAGTTGATGATGTTTAAAGGTTTATTGTGGACATTTTCCATCACGATGGAAAAACACAACGCATAAACGTTAGGGCTCTGCAATCTGAATCCGCCCTCAGTTTGCAGATAGATCTCGAAACGATTTGTATTGTATTTTACCATTGTGATCGAAAATTTCCGCAATAAACCTGTTTAGGTAATATATTAAAAACATTTTTTTTATAACATTTTATTCTAAAAATGTAGGGTGGAATATTTTTAGGAAAAATAGTGTTTAGTTCAAACTTATAATTAAACTGAAATACCTTCTACATTAGCCTTGTGGGTTACACTGTTGGTCAAGGAAAACACAAGAAATATGCAATAAAAGAATCGTAACATAATAGGAACTACCATTTGGCAGTCTAGACAAATATTCTCTCCGAGCAAAGTCTGCCCCTATGGTTTGGGTAATAACAAAAACAACGGGACTAAGTATTAAATTTTAAATATAATATATAACTTCTTGATCAGCATTGTACGTTTCTTTTATTTACTTTCCGTATATAATATATCTCATGCGGGCTATTTCTTTCTTATCCTACTCGTACTACTCAAAAAATTAAATTACAGTACTTTAAAGTAAAATAATATCACGATCTTTGGACAGTAAAATGTATGTTTTTTTATAAATTCAACAAACATTAATCATAATGAAAACCCATAAGACATATATGGTGTTTACGTCACACTATTGAAGACCCCTTGTAGGCCTACATTAATTTAAGCCTTTACATTTTGCTTTAAGCTTAACATTTTGTACAACAAAAACTATCTACGCACATTTAATTGTTAATTATAGCAGTCATTATTTACACATTATATAGGCCTGTATGTTATTTTACATTATGCGGTGAAAACACAATTTTTGTTTTACTGATTTACGCATGTATAAAAAAATACAAAATAATATAAATACAGTATTATATTTAATCAAATATAGGGCCAATAAATTTAAAATACGCCACAATTTAAATTTTCCCAAAATCTGATTGATAGACTTTACGGGACTGAAGGAATTTGGGGTAAGTTGTCGTTTAAGTATGTACGCATGCAGGCTTGAGATAGGTGTGGCATACCGAGGTATGAGTTACTCGGTCATGCAAAGATCGGTACCCCTCATTTTTTGGATTTCCCGATTACAGTTGGCACTGCTCTCTGTTGTGGAATCTATTCGACGGTGTTTGGACGATTCATGGGTTGTTCGGCCTACTTGGAGAATGAACTCCATTTTTGTACAGTATAAGTTAGTATCGGTCTTGTCATCCTTTTATGTTTATTCAATGAAAGTTGGGTTTTATTAGAATCGCACAAAGCTTTACCAACCGTTATGGATAGATAAGGATAAACATGGTGATATTAATTTTAGAATTGTAAATATTTGCATACCTACTGAAATATTTAATTTGTTTACTAAGCAATATATATTTACGCCACACTACATTATTTTGACGAACTTCCCACACAAGGATTTAGTCCAGAAAACAGCTGTTTGCCGCCAG